GTGAATGGAAACATATAAAATAATAATATTAATAAAAATAAATATTAATAAAATGAATAATAATAATAATAAATGACATCCATCATCATCTAACACTTTCCCCCCCAGTATGACTGTACTTGTCCCCGCCCTTTTCATTCACTGCTATCCAGTTCTTTCCATCATGGAGGCTCAGCATCACATGTGGGTGTTACCAAGGGTGATCTGCATGTATATGCATCCTGTCTAGGAGCGCCCACTCCTCCAGACTGACACCCACCCATCATTTTGATATTTGCATAACTCCTCCCAAAAACCAGCACACTGCTTGCATCAGGGCCGAGGGCTCTTTAGACAAGTACTGAGGCAGGGTGCTGTGATGTTTTCAGGAAGCTACATACAGCACCCTGCTGGCTCCTCCCACCAGCTATAGTCTGCCTGCATTGAGAAGCATAGAGACCCAGTGATACATAAGGTATGTAACGAAAATGGAAATGTCTTATTTTAAAGTTGAATTAGCATATAGATGATAGGAAAAGGAAGGTGAGAAGCACAGAGACCCAGTGATAGAGTGACACTGAAAACAGAAATATTTTACTTACAAATGTCACTAGCATGTTGATGGGGAAGGAACCAGGAACACAAAATATCAGCAGATTAAACTTAAAGCTACAATGTAACAAGCAGTCAAGGACTGGAATTGCTTGGATGTTTTCTGTCCATTTACAAAGGCTGGAATAGGAGAGAATAACATCCCTGACCTCAAGAGCTTACAATCTATTCCACGTGTGGAAAAAAAAATACACTGTCACAATCTGGCGGTGGAGTCATGATGGGTCACAGTGCCAGCGGGCGCCGTAAGCCGGGCACACAGACAGGAGCGGGCAGACAGATACTGCCACAGAACTTCAATAATTCATAAAATGCTGATGAGCGGCATAGCTGTCTTATCTCTTTTGGAGCTGCTGTTGCATACACTGATTCACCGACGGCCGCAATCATCCGGCATCCGGTCTAATAACCCCCCTGGGATAAGCCAGGGCAAAGGGCCGGCTCCATTAACTACTTCACGGCCCGAGCGACTGAAGCAAGCCGACCCGTCCTAGGGCATCATCG